TTGTAGCAGACCTGTGTCTTGCAAGAAAAGACAAGCATCTTCTTCTTCTTCATTATCATCATCATCTTCATCATCATCATCATCATCAACCTAGCTTGCCTCATGGTTACTGAGGGCTCTCATGGGCACTCTTTCACTTGACCATAGTCATCCTCAGAGGTAGGAAGTGCAAGGATTATCGTTCCTATTGTTTGGATGAGGAAACTGGGCCCAGAAGTGCCTTAACCACAGCCACACTTACTCTAGTAAGCAGCTGAAGAATGAGGATTTAAATTCCTATCTTCCCACTCCCAAGTGTGACGGGCTTTCTGCTGCGCTTCATTGCCTTCTTGGATGGAGTAGACAGTGAGTGGAGAGTACAGAGGAGTCCCAGACAAGGGTGGCAGTGGTGTCACTGAGCCCAGAAACTTCCCAGATGAATGAAACACTTACATTTTTGTTTGGGGGGGGTGGATTCTGAAGATGAAACATGGCCAAGCATGAGATTTTTTGGACCACCTGCCTCCTTTGATCCCAAGGAAGTCCTGGGGAGGAGCCTGCCGAGTGACCAGCCCTGGGCCTGGCCTAGATTATATCCAGTTTAATGTCAACCCAATGAGACCACTGAGGCTTCCCAAAAGCATAGTTTGCAGGATTAGGGCTGGTGAGGCTAATGTGATTATAGTTCCATCACTCTGTTTTCTCTGAAATGCCTGCTACATGCTGATCATGGTAACAAAAGGAGAGGCTGCCTCGCTGTAGTGGGGGTGGGGAAAGAGGGGGATGGAGCTCACCACCCAAGTCCAACACCAACTCCAAGCCTCCTGGGACACCAGGCAAAGGCCCTCGTGGAAGGCAGGTGTTTAAGGAGGATTAAGTCACTTCATGCAGGTGATAAAGTGCAGAAATTCCAAAGTGTGTGTGTATGTGTGTGCGTGTGTGTGTGAAGTTGTAGATTAGGATCCAAGGATTAGTTGTTCATAAACAGGCTTAGGCAATTTCTCTTTTTACAGGTATCAGTAAAATCATTGACCTTTACTGCTTACCCAGAATGAAATTTGAGAGTCAGCATGGCACAGTGGATGGAGAAATGTCTTGGAAGCCAAGAGGAGCCAGGTTCAAGCCTTGCCTCTGTAAGAGACTGGCTATGAAATGCTGGGGAGCCAACTTCTCCTTTTGGCTCTTCAGGAAACTCTAATATTGCCCATTGCAAAGAAGGTGAAGAGGGAGCAGGGCCTTGTTAAAGGGCGTGTCTTCACCCAGGAGCTCACTGTGCCTAATGAACTAATAGTTCTGTCCCCTACTCCTGTCAGCGTAATCATTGACATGAAGCATCCTCACTACTTATCCAGAATGAAGGCTGAGAGTCAGTTGTCAAGGGAATTCCATTCATTTTGACAGAGACGCAAGTTTAGGTGGAATGTTATTCCTGCCCTCACGAATTTAAAATCTAGTAAGGGAATATGGCAAGTACACAATAATACCTTTGTTGTTGTTGTTTTCTGTGGTATAGTAATTCTCTTGAGGAACTTCCTCTACCAATGCAGATTGGCATATTTTGTGCAATTAAGGGTCTTGGAGAGTTGCATGAGGGCACTGAGAAGGTATATGATTTACCCAGGGTCCTACACAACCAATATGTGCTACTATCTTTCCTTCCTTAAGTCAGCTCTTTATCCATTGTCTTCCTAACATTTATCCATTGACTTCCAGAGATGTGAGATGAAAACACCATCTGAAACTATTGACGTTCCTAATTCAGTAAAAACAACTCACATTTTTACAGTTCTTTTGAAACGTTATCTTGCTTGATTCTCAGAATAAGAGAATGTAAGCTCCTTGAGGGCATGTGTTTTTTTTTTTATTTGTTTTTTGATTGCTATCTTTCTGTATCTCTAATACCTAGCACAGAACTTTGCACATAGTAGATAATTAATAACTGCTTGTGGAATTGAATCGAACAGTGCCATAAGTAGGCAGTGCCAACATTACTATATCTGACACCTTCAATCTAGTTCCACCCAATACAGAGATGGCCCTGGGTTCTTCAAGCTTGTGTCAGTATACACAAGCCTATTAAAGTAGAGCGTCTGACTAGGGACCCAGTGATTACAGTCTAGGGACTCCATAGATTACAGCAGGAAGTATGGGGGAAGGGAAGAGCACTGACTCGAGAGTCAGAGACTGGAAGGAAGTGGTGCTTTCCACAGAAACAGGTAAGTTTGGAAGGTAGGCAGGAGGGGAGGAAAAGTTATGAGCTCAGTTTTGGACATGTGGAGATTAGGGTGGACGTCCGGCTTGAAATTTCCACCAGTTACTTAATTGGTGGTGTTGGAATGAAGCTGAGGGCAGAGCCTGGGCTTGGATATATAGGTCTTGGAGTCATTTACATAAAGATAATAGTTAAACTCATGGGAACCAATGAGAAAGAGTAGACTGAGAAGAGAAGAGAGCCTAGGACATAATCTTGGGGAATACCCATAGGTAGAATGGGTGAAGTGGATGAGGAACAATCATAGAAGATGACAGATATGGAGCAGGTCCATAGGCAGGAAATAGAGCAGGAGAGAGTCGTGTTATAGAGTACTTGAAAAGAGACAATATCCAGGAGGATAGGGGGTGGGTCAAATGTAGCGAAGGGGAGAAGGTTTAGGACTAAGAAAAATGAATAAGAGATCACTCATAAGTCTACTGTGCTGTATGAATTAAACTCCAATTAACCAGAACCCAACTTAGCAGCATCTTTAATTAGGTGTTAGGAGAAAGTGCAGATAGCGGGAAAAGAAACGGACAACACAAATGTGCATAAGAGCAGAGTGCCTGACACACACATAGTAAGTGCTTAATAAATGTTTGTTGACTTGCATTAACTTGGCTTCACCCATGGGATGCCCTGAATTGGCTTCAGAGAACAGAAGTAAAAACACTGGGTGAAAAAGGTCATAGGCAAAGAGGTAAATGTAAAATTTCCTAACAATTAGAATTGTCCCCAAATGGAATGGCTCACCTCTAGAGGGGGAGGGGGAAGAGGAGGTGGTGGTGGTCCCAGGTGTTGGAGATCTGGGGGCAAAGGCTGAATGATCACTTGTTGGGTATTTTGTAGGGGGAATTCTTTTTTGTGTACACATTATACTTGATGGATGCAGAAGCCTTTTCTACCTTTGACATTCTGTGATTCTGTATCACTCATTTTCACATTGATGGCCCTAGGGGCCTATAATATCCTTTAGTTAACAAGGTCACACACTGCTAGACTTTGCTGATCAAATTAGGTACATTGGACTCAGACATGTTAACAAGAATTTTCAGCAAGTGTTGAGCTAAAACACGGTTCTCTGGTTTTCCAAATTAACCAGAATATTAAATTCACCAGAGCCCATTTCTTGACCATTCCATTTAGCTGAGAATCTACTAGGGGGCAGTTAAGTGGCATAGTGGATAGTTGGGCCTAGAGTGAGGAAGACTTATCTTTTTGACTTCAAATCTAGCCTCAGACACTCACTAGCTGTGTGACTCTGGTTAAGTCATTTAATCCTTTCTGCCTCAGTTTCCTCATCTGCAAACTGGAGGAGGAAATAACAAACCACTTCTGTATCTTTGCTAAGAAAACCTCAAATGGGTTCACAGAGAGTTAGACGTGACTGAAACAACCCAGCAACAATTGTTGTGATTTGGTGTTGGATATTTGGGTTGAAAACAATGAATGTGGCATGAGGCCAAGAGGTCTAGTGGAAAGAACTTTAGATCTGGCTCTTTAAAACTGGTTCAAATCTTAGCTCTGCCACTTACTATGTGTGTGGCCTTGATCAAATACCTTCACCCCTCTCGGCCTTATTTTCCTTATTTGTAAAGTGGAAGGGTTGGACCAGAGCAGGGCTTCTTCATTGTTTTTTGTGTCATGGACTCCTTTGGCAGTCTGGAGAAGCCTTTGGACCCTTTAGCAGAATAACATTTTAAATGCATAAAATGAAATACACAGGATTACAAAGGAAACCAGTTGTATTGAAATACAGTCATCAAGATATTTTTTAAATAGCAAGAAGTTAAGATGGGATCTCAACCAATAGGTTAAGGACCCTTGGACTAGATGATGTGAAAAGTCTCTTCTAGTTTGAAATTCTGTGATTCTACAATGCTATAATCTCCTCCAGGGCAAGAACTGTCTTTTGCCCCTTTTTGTATCCTAAACACATAGTAGGCACTTAATATTTAATGTTTATTGACTGACTGTGGCCCTGTTCAGCCAAGGATCCCACATTTTTGAAAGTTTCACAGAACAAATATGAAAATAAGGTAGTTGGGAAGGTTTCAGTTTATTCCTGTCTAAGGGGAAGAATAATGGATTAACTTACATATGCAGGTCCTTTCTAGACAAAGACTTTTCTGACAGTATGCAAAAGCAGAATGCCACTAAGCTGATTCTGTCCCGGTAGCCAAGCCACACAACCTTGTTACTAACTAGCTGTGGAACTCAGATTTGTCACTTTAATGTCTCTGTGCCTCAGTTTCTCTGTAAAACAAGTGGATTGGACTAGATAATTTACCCTTCACCTCCCCTGGGGTCTTTTAAAAAATTTTTAAATTTTTTTAGCCCTAACATTCTACGTTCTTGGGTCCCTTGCTGCTCTGATATTCTCTCTTCTGAGGTTTAACATACTATGCTCCTGAGCTCTCGTATTTGTAATCAGTGCTCTTAGGATAAATTCAGAATTACAAGATGGAGAAAAGTCCCTATGAAATGGGAGGGCAGGGAACGATTGCAGGAGGAGGGTCTGGCCCCGGGGCTTCATTTAAATGACTTTCTCTCTCTCTCTCTCTCTCTCTCTCTCTCTCTCTCTCTCTCTCTCTCTCTCTCTCTCTCTCTCTCTCTCTCCCCCTCCCCCCCTCTCTCTTCTCCCCCTCCCCCTCTCTCTCCCTCTCTCTCCCCCTCCCTCCCTCTCCCCCATCTTCTCTTCCCTCTTCTCTCTTCCCCTCTTCTCCCTCCTTCTTTCGCCTTTTCCTTCTCCTTTCTCTTCCTGCAGATATTAGAAGAAAACATGAAGCTGGAGTGTAAATGCCACGGGGTGTCAGGTTCGTGCACCACTAAAACCTGCTGGACCACGCTGCCCAAGTTCCGCGAGCTGGGCTATATCCTGAAGGACAAGTACAACGAGGCGGTGCACGTGGAGCCGGTGCGGGCCAGCCGCAACAAGCGCCCCACGTTCCTTAAGATCAAGAAGCCCTTGTCCTACCGCAAGCCCATGGACACGGATCTGGTGTACATCGAGAAGTCACCCAACTACTGCGAGGAGGACCCCGCGACGGGCAGCGTGGGCACCCAGGGCCGAATGTGCAACAAGACCGCCCCCCAGGCCAGCGGCTGCGACCTCATGTGCTGTGGTCGAGGCTACAACACCCACCAGTACGCGCGCGTGTGGCAATGTAATTGCAAATTTCACTGGTGTTGCTATGTGAAGTGTAACACGTGTAGTGAAAGAACAGAAGTGTACACCTGTAAGTGAGCTGCGTGGGTTGGGGAGATACTGGGGGACTGGGTGGGTGAGGGGGATGTGGACGGAAAGGGGGAGGGAACGGCGATGTGCTGGGCCGTCCTCCCATTCTCCCCCTCACCATCCCACTGCCCGCTGAGAAAGGAAAAAGATGGAAAAAACCGAGGAAGATGTTGGCATGTGATCTAGCCTGACCTTCTCCAGGCTGTCACCGAGATCTACCGGGCCTCTTCCAAAAGACCAGCCTTGGGTGGAGGTTTTTTTCCTGACTTCTTATGGGGAAGCTGGTACGTTTCCTGTTAGACCCAAGAGAAGAGCAGAGAGCAGCCAATCCCATCCTCTCCACAAGTACCCTCAGCCGCTAAGTCACTGGAGTCAGTGTGGGCCCGGGTGGCCTTAGGCAGACCACCAGGCTGGGCCAGGCCAGGCCCCTGGGGCTCAGGGTCAGCCTCCCCCTGGGAGCGAATGGATCCATCTGCACAGTGACTGTTTGCTCCCCAGGAATCAAACATGGCATAAGCACTGCGACTGACTACGAGAGAATCTTGGCATGGGGCCTCAGCCCCCCAGCGTGATTATCCCTGCAGAGTGCTACCCACCAGGCGCATTGTCGCCTTAGCGCTCATGGAAGTGCTTCAGGAAACTCTCAGCTGGTTTTCGTCTCACTCAAGTCACTTCGGCAAGCCGCGATTGCTCCTGCTGCTCAACGTTGGCTAGAAATGAGATGGCCTTCCTTTGAGCTGCCATATTATTATTATTATTTTTTAAGCAGGGACGTCAGGCTCCCGGGCTTACTAATAGCAATATTTAACAATTTATTCAGATAAAAAATAATATTAATTTATTTAATTAAAAGAACTCTACCACCACTGGAAAAGATTCTGCAATCAAAGTAGGCTCCTTGCTTTCGTTGTGAGATAATTTTGTCAACTGGGCAAGGAACAATTGGAATTGTACATAGTTATTCTTTATGCAGATATTTCTACTAGTTGATTTTGCAAGTTATTCCTTGCAGTCCTAGATGTTTAAGTATAAAAGCAGGCATCTTTTTACATATATATATTTTTTGCTGTTTGCTGCTAGTTGTCTGGAAACTCAAGTTGGCATTGATCTTGAGATCTTTACCAGTACATACCAATACCTTCTTTCCCCCCATCCCCTGCCAGGTAAGACTCACCATCCTGAAAATCGAGTTTGAGATGCCTATACAGAGAGACAGAAATGAACTCCAGACAATTTCCATCTTTTGGAAAGTGACCCATAGGATAAGAGAGTATATTTTGTAAGAGACTATTTTTATATGAATATTTTATTTATACTATGTTTGCCTGTATCATGCTATAACCTGTTCTACTTCTCAAATCAGGCAGCCAACTCATCCTGTTTATCAGAGGAAGGCTGGTGAGGCCTTGGGATGGAGGAGGATGGAGCTCCGAGTGAGCCCAAGTGGGTCTCTTCCCCTCATATCACACAAACTCCCTCTTGGGATCCAATTTGCCAAGCATGCAAAAGATCCTTCAGTCACATGGTTCAAAAGCGTGATTGGTATTAACAGGATACTCTGTGAACCCATTTGGAGGAAGAAAAAAAAAGCCAACCCCAACAAATTTAAGCTCCCTTCCCCTTGTGGCCTGGATCAGTCAACTGCGGCCCTGTGATTAGCAAAAGCAGTGGGTGTATTGGCCCGGAAATCCCCACATTGTGGTACTGTCACAATGGATCGGATCAGCCAAGATCAGCAGGCTCGGACGTTGCCGACCAGACGAACACACACACACACACACACACACACACACACACACACACACACACACACACACACATCACTTGCCTCCCACAGATAGTGGTTACTCCAGAACCCTGTTTTAATGATGAAAGGGGTTTGAGGAGATGCCTTTGAGTTGCCTAGCTCCTACCAACATTTTCTTAGAGGACTTTTCCATAAGATGCCAAAATATCCCATCAAAAAATAGAACATTCAACCAGTTGACCTTTGGGTTCCTCAGCCTATTCATTGCCAAGCAGCTGCAGCCCCAAACTGACCAGTGGACTGGAGAGTGCATTATCCAAGACTGAAAGTGCAAACCACCCAAGGCAAATTGAGAAAAAGTAGGTTCTCTCTTCTTCCATCCTCTCCTGTCCTCTTTTTTCTTTCCTTCTCTGGGGGGACAGGTAGAGAGAGGCACTTAGGAGTTAGTAAGGGAAAGTTTCTAAATCATGGAAGCTCTTCTCTCCCCAATCTTGCCTGGATCTCCACCCTCTTACACTCATTGCTTCCCAGGCTAGGAAGGTCTCATTTGGGAGAATGTGTACATGACGTAATGAAAATAACCTTGAATTTGGAGACCTAGATTTGAATCCTGACTCTGCTGCTTAATTCTTGTGTAAGTTACCTTCCTTGAACCAGTTGCTTAACTTATCTGGGTCTCAGTTTCTTTATCTGGGGTTGCTCTTAACCATTTTTGTATCATGGCCCCCTTTGGTGAGCTGGTGAAGACTGGGCTCCTTCTCAGAATAAAGTTTTTAAATGCATACAGTACAAAACATAAGATTACCAAGAATAACAACTCTATTGAAAAACTATATGAGCTCTATTTAAAAATGCAAGTTCACGGACCCCAGGTTAAGAACCCCTGGATTAAATGATCTCTCGGCTCCCTTCTAGCTTAAATCCTATGATTCCTAGAGGATTAAGTGCCAAGTAGTTGATGTGTCCCTGTAGGTGGGTCTGCTTCCATATGTGGCTCTGTATATTGTTTGCGTGTGGGAGCATAGGATTTAGAGTTGACTGGGACCTGGGGTGGCTTGAACCAGATTCAAATGTAATTGGGAAACATTTAACAAAATCAATAAAAATACAGTAGAACACAGATAATGTTATGTGGTTTTCTAAGTCAATATATGCCCACAAGGATCCTTATGCACAATTTGGTGGTCCCCCTTTCTGTTTGGTGTAATCTAACCCCATTATTTGAAAGACGACACACAGAAGTTTAGAGAGAAATGATTTGCCCAGGACCATATAGGATTTGAACTCAGGTCTGCTGATTCTAAATCCATTGCTCCTTCCGTCACCACTACCATCTCTATGTAGCTGTTTATGTAGCCAAGTCTATATAGTCATCTTACCTTGTTTCTGCATTCATTGCCTGTGTTCTATATGTTTCTGTGTGCTTGTCACTTATTTTTTTTTTCTACCTAGTGATGAACAGGAGTTGATGGAGGTCATTGGTGTCCTGTTCTTTTTGTATACCCAACTTTTCCTCTTGGTATTTGGGAACTTTTTCTAGCTCCTGCTGGAGAAGGAACTGCCTTTTAGAAGAAAAGACCCTGGGAGAGTATTGGGGCTACTGACTGATCCACAATGCCCCTATGATCATGACACCAGCGAAAAGCCAAGTAGAATGGGGGCCCAGGGTCTCCAAATCACACACCTTTCTGGGGTTGGTCATCTGATTAAGTGGGATTTGGGGGTAAACCTCTTCTTAGAAAACAGACTCTGCTCCACACAGAGTGTAATTAACCCCCTAGCCTGGTGTGCCTCTGCACACCTGCCACCTCCACCCTCCTAGCAGACCTGTTTCCCTACCATTCAGCCCCAGGTGACCCCTATCAAATTGTCATTTACCTTCACAGTGGGGAGTCAGAGCCCCAGCTGAGCATATAATTAAAAGAATGAAAGTATTTTTGGTAATAAGAAAGTTGTTATCTTGTCAGGTTGGTTATTTTCATGCAAAAACATCCCAGGCAGTCCTTGCTTTGGGTTTGGCTTTGGAGATGCACAGCAGACACTGCCCTCGGAGGTTACAAGTCCATCAAGGGCGAGGCCTGTTTCATCTTGTGCCCCAAAACACCGAGGATGGCTCCTTGGAGCTCCTACCCTTTCTCCTACCCCCCCCCCCCTCTCTTCCTCCAGTGCGAGTATGGCCGCCCCCGTCCCGAATGAGTCCATCTCTTCCTGCTTTGGAGTTAGAATCGGGGGATAGATGTCCCATCTCTGCATGGATGGTGGCTGTCATCTTGAATCCTGGCCCTCGTTTGTGCCTGGGGCTTCAGTTTCTCCATCTGTAAAATGGGGATAATAATAGTTACCTCCCTCACAGGGCTGTTGTGAGGATCCCTTCGTTGGTGTTTGTGTGGCACGTTTAAGCTGCAGAGTGATGATGGGCGCTAAGCATTATTATAAGCTCCTTAAAAACACCCTTCTTCCAAACACTTTTACTCACAGGAATAAACATTTGGATCTCTGTATGATGAGAGTTTTCTTTTTCCTTTTGTTTCCTGAAGAAGTGGCTTTCCTCCTCCCTTCCATCCCCATCAAACACCCCCACCACCACCGAACAAAAATTGAAAACTTAAATCGTCGGTTAATATTTGGAAATGGTTCCCAAAAAGGTCCTCTCTAAGGAGACAGTGTGGTGGGAAGCGAGACAATACAATGACCTGTGTTCTAGTCTCAATCTGCCCCTCATGTGCTGTGTCATTTTGGACAAGATCATTCCCATCTGTGGGCCTCCACCATGAAAATGAAGTGGTTGAATTAGGGATTGCTCTCTTCCAGCTTGAACGTCTTATGAAATTTCTACTGGGAAGTTATTCACAAGACCCTTTAGACATACCTCAGGCCCCCTGGATTTGACTAAACTTTAAAACCTAGAAAAATAAAGATTGAAAATGGAATATTTTCAAGGAAAGATTCTATATCATGGGTCAGGAGGATGTGCTTAAAGTAATCTCCGTTGAAGGGTTGTTGACAGAGAAGTGGTGTACAAATTTCAAAGTACTATAGAACCAGTGTGGTTCTTACTCCATATAATAGGCCAAGTGCAGCCCTTTGACTCAATGCAAATCAAAGGGTGCTAGAGGGTCACATGTGACCTTGAGGCTGCAGATTCCTCACCCCTGGTCTATACACACTCCCACAGCTCTAACCAGACCCCTGAATGGCTTTTCCCCTGTCTCAGGCTTAGAGTAGATTCAGGGGAAGGAGCCTCTCACATGTCCCTTGTCTTATTCATGCTGCCATCTTTGCCTTTTATTGGCATTTTCAAAAGATGCTTGGCCTGTTGGATGGAGTAAGAACCACTCACATTCTATAGTCAAAGGGCTGTACTTGAGGACCTACAGGGCCACAAGTGGCCTTGAGGCCTCAGGTTTCCCACCCCTGGGTAGATGAAAGCTGGAGAAATGCTAAGGAAGCCATGTCCCTCTTAGGCTGGGCCTAGCTTTGGTGAATGAAGTTCTATAAGATCACAGACTTAGAATTGGAAGGGACCTGGAAGACCATGTAGTCTGACTCCCTCATTTTACAGGTAAGGAAAGTGAGGTTCACACAAATGAAGTAATGTGTCCAGGGTTCCAAAGGTGCTGGGATTTAACTGCATAACCCATACCCAACACTACCTGTATGACCTTGGGCAATTCACTTAATCTTCCTGGGCCTCAGTTTCTTCATCTGTAAACTTAGGGGGTTGACTTTTGATGTCTCCAGTTCTATAGCCTATGACATACTGCTATTTATACGTCATTGTTTGGCCTTTGGGTAGTCAAGGCTGACCTGGAGTGCTGGGGGAGGATATATTTCTCTATGTCTATGGGGGTGGAAGAAGGTGCCAGTCATCCATGAGAGGAGACAGATGGACCCCTGATGTAGGCTCTCCCATGGCAGGGCTTTAAGCCATCCCCTTTTCCTTGCTTAAAGGCCCTATGTTTTTTGGGGCAAAGCTGCCAGGTCAGTCCCAATGGGGGAAAGGGCATGTGATGTGGCTGAGCCATTTTCATTGACAACCACTCCCCTTGTGAGTTTCAGTCTCATTCCAGGCTCAGACAAGGTCGAGATTCCAGATTCACCTTCTACTTTAGGAAGTCATGGTTGAGTATAGGCCGAGGACTTCTCATCTCCATAAGAGAATCCAAGTGCCTCATTCTATTCCTGATGTTCCTTGGCAGACCCCAGAGGAATCAGGGGAATCTAGCATATTAGAGTCAGGAAGCAGATGACCTAGGAGGTGGAATAGGGCAGTGGAAAGAGGCGTGACTCTGAAGCTAGAGGACTTGGGTTCAAAACCTACCTCTGATATTTACTACATGTGCGATTTTGCACAAGTCACTTGGCCTCGGTCTTCTCATCTGTAAAAATGAGGGAGTTGGACCAGATCCATTTGGCCCTAGGTTCATGATTAGAAGAGCTCTGCAACTGAATTTTAACTCTGCTACTTAGCACTGACGTGACCTTGGACAAGCCAGTCTTTTCAGTTCCTTGAGATAATCTTTAAGGTCCTTTCCAGCTTTAAATTCTACGATTATCTTTCCCACACTATTCATATGTTATAAATGAGGAAATGGAGACCCCGCAGAGTGACCTTAATTTTAGGGCTCCCAGATGCCAATGGCATGGAATAATACCAACAGCTAACCTATTAACAACAGAGCACTTTAAGGTTTGCAAAATGCTTTACATCCCTTATCTCATTTGATCCTCAGAGTCAGACAGCCAAGTGTCAGATGCTATATTTGAATGGAGGTCTTCCTGACTCTAAGTCCATCACTATTCACTGTGCTCCCTAGCTACAAGAGATAATGTGTAAAGTGCTTAGCACAGTGCCTGCGCAGAGTAAGTGCTTAAATTCCTCCCTCCCTTCCTTCCTTCCTTCCTTCCTTCCTTCCTTCCTTCCTTCCTTCCTTCCTTCCTTCCTTCCTTCCTTCCTTCCTTCCTTCCTTCCTTCTCTCTCTCTTTCTCTCTTCTCTTTCTTTTTCTTTCTTTCTTTCTTTCTTTCTTTCTTTCTTTCTTTCTTTCTTTCTTTCTTTCTTTCTTTCTTTCTTTCTTTCTTTCTTTCTTTCTTTCTTTCTCCTCTCTCCCTCCCTCCCTTCCTCCTTCCTTCCTTCCTTCCTTCCTTCCTTCCTTCCTTCCTTCCTTCCTTCCTTCCTTCCTTCCTTCCTTCCTTCCTTCCTTCCTTCCTTCCTTCCCTCCTTCCTTCCTCCTCCCCCCTCCTCTCCTTTCCTTCCTTCGTTCCTTCCTACCTAAGGAAGGGTGACAGAAGTAGATGACAATAGCCGAGCCCTGCCACCCACCACTCACACACTCTGGCTATTCTCTGCTTGGGGATCACAGCAACAACCCATATGTGGGTGGTAGGGCTTTTAGACTGATGTAAACACTTTCTCCACAACAGCACTGTGTAAGTGTTATTGTCCCCAATTTAAAGAAGAGGAAAGTGGGACTCTAAGAAGGGTCTTAAATTGTCCAAGGACACATGGCTCGCTAAAATCTGAACACAGTTTTCTCCAAGCTGTCATCTCACTCATCACCCCATTTATACACTACTAATATTAATAGAGCTGTGATTTCATGGGCATAAAACATTCCTGTTGAGGAACTCCTACAAGTCAGATATGTATTTTTTCTGCAGCTTTCAGCGTTAAAAAGAATTGCCTAGGAGAATTGAGAGTTTAAGAGACTGTCTCAGGAGCACACAGTCAATGGGCAAGATTTGAACCCAGCCTATTTTACAGAGGAGGAAACTGAGTCTTAAAAAGATTTGTGACTTACCCATGGGTCACACAGTTTGTGAATGTCAGAACTCAGATTTGAACCTAAGAGTTTTTCTGCTATACCATACAATACTGGCCCTTTTCTAACCTGCTGAATGGACTGAATTCAGATGTGATCCCATGAGAGCTAAAACCCCAGCCAGCAAACGGCCCTGAGAATGCAGGCTGGAAATTGGAAGAGCAGAGCCCTGGCCTCTAGGAGGCAGGGGCTGGAACAAAATTCACTGCAGGGCAAACAGGAAGCCTTTGCAGGGACCCCTTGGGGTCTCTGACTGCTGACAGAGAGCAGAGGTGCCCTGGGAAGGACCCAGCCCCCCAATCTGTCAGGGATGCTGCCTTGCAGAGCCCGGGCCTAATCCATTGTTCTCCCTTTCTCCCGCTACAATGGCATCTCTTCCATTGACACAGCAGCTACCAGTTGCTACGACAACGCAGACAGCCTGTAGAGAATGCTGTCAAGCTGCTCCGAGAACTTTCCTCCTCCCTTAGCAAAATCGTCACGAAACCCAACAGGCTTGGTTTTGTTTCTGCTGTTCATGCAGGCAGCGTGAGAGCACACACACACACACACACACACACACACACACACACACACACTCACAACACACTACACACACATACAGTAGCCCAAGGAAAAATGCTGAAAAGAATCCCCATTCAGAAACCCCAGTGGAAATGCCAACAGAGAACCCTCCCTCCCTCTTACCCCTGGCCCAGCCTCCATTCATGGAATGTTGGAGCTGGGAGGAATCTTAGGGATCCTCATCAACACCATTTTCACCAATCTCTGATCTTCCCAACTGAGAACTGTCACTCTCCCTATTTCCTAAAATACTCTGGGTCTTTCTCTCTCTCTCTCTCTCTCTTCTCTCTCTCTCTCTCTCTCTCTTTTTTTTTTTTTGCTAGGCAATCGAGTTAAGTGACTTGCCCAGGGTCACACAGCTAGTGAGTGTCAAGGTCTTTCTCTTTTAAAAAAAATTTGTATTTTTTTAATGGATATCTTTTGGTTTTTACATTTCAACATTTCCCAATGTATCCTCCACACCCTTCCCAGAGAGCTGTCTCTTTACAGCAAGCTAAAAAGAAGTAAAAAAAGCCCAGCAACACAAACATCCCAAAAAACTCTATTCTATACAGTGTTCCACACTCACAGTACTCCATAATAGCAAGGGACAAAAGCAACAGTAACCTCCACAGCCACCAAGCATTTATTAAGTGTTTATTCGGCTTGACCTCTGCTGAGCACTTTTACAAACAAATATATGGAAGTGCTTTCTTCCAACTCATATTTGAGCCCAAGCTTCGTCATTATAACTTCACAGCTTTCACTTTTGCTTGTTTTGATGTTCTTTCCATTTTCATTGTTGCAGTTGTTATGCGTGTTATTCTTGTGGTTCTGCTTACTTCACTTCATTTAAGTCTTTCCACATTGACTTCTTAACAGCATTCAGCATATTGACTTCTTAACAACACAATAATACCCCAACACACACACAAAGCATACACACACACAGAGGCACACATGCACGCTTAACTTATTTAGCTATTCCACAATCAATTTTGCGTCTACTGTATCTCACAGAATCAAAGAATCAGGGCAGCTAGGTGGCCCAATGGATAGAGGGTCTTTCTCTTTTGTCACCATCACCCAGGGTCACCCAGCCAGGTGATATCAGGCCTAGGATTTGAATCCCAAGGGTTTTCTGGCTCTTCAGCAGTCTTTCCACTATACTACAGCC